CCTGGACAGCATCAAATCCTTCATTGTGGTAAGACTCCATCCATGCATATGTTTTCTGTTATACCCCTGACTTGCTCCTTGTTGATACTGTGACACTTGGTAGGACAAAAAGTAACCTGCTTCTTGGGCTATCAATTATCTTCCCTGTTGACCAAGCTAAGCTGTGATTGTTCTAGTCAAGTTTTTGATGGCTGGTGAACCTGTAAATGTAGGGAAATTCTGTTCTGGTGTTACTGTTTCATCTTAAAGGAAGAAGGTCATTCCTTGAAACACCAATGCAAAGGCTGTTTTCTGTTTGTCATTCCAAGCCTTGATGTTACCTAAATTGTTCTGTAGACTGGCATTGACTGTCCAGTGAGTTGAGAGCTTAAGGCTGGAATCATCGGAGGTGGATGGGGGCACAGTCACAACATTTGAAAGACAGTTAGATAAGTACATGAACAGGAAAGGCTTGGATGGATATGAACCAGGAGCAGACAAGTGGGACTAGTTTAGTTTGGGATTATGTTCAGGATAGACTAGTTGGACCAAAGGGTCTGTGTCTGTGCTGTGTGACTGACTCTTAGCATCTGTAGTCCACTCCTCACCTAACCAAGGCATTTTATTGATGCAGCAGTTTTTAAGAAAAGGTTGAACAGAGGACACTGCCCTGAGGGCTTCCTGTTGAGGTCATGCTTTGGCTGATAACTATGGCTGTCTGCCATTCGTCAAGTATAATTGTAACTCAGGGTGGGTGTCCCTTTTTGTCTTTATTGGTCTCCATTTTGACAGGGAAAACTATGTATTAAACCTCAAAATTCATGAGGGGGAATTTTTTATTAATATTTGTTACACTGTGCTGTTGTTTTGCATTTTATAAAGAGAAGCTCTTCTTTCTTTCTTAGGTATATTATTACAATGCTCGGACCCGAGAGTCTGCTTGGTCAAAGCCAGAGGGTGTAAAGATAATCCAACAATCTGAACTGACGCCGGTCATGGCCTCACAAGTGATCACTACGACATCGACGCCTATTGGTAGCACGACAGCCCCATCAGTCTCAACACCAGCGTCGTCTATTCAGTCAACCACACCAGCCTCTTCTAGTACACCTGCATCGGTTGTTACGGTTTCAGCAGCAGGTGCAGGTCAGTAATGCTGAAACATACAGTTAAGATAAATTATGAGCAATCAGGAAAGGATCCCAAGAGTTAAGTTTATCAGGGCTTTAGACTGTTCATTAAATGTACACTTGTTTCAGTAAACGCATTTATTTAATCGTATTGTCGACATTGTCAATTACATTGCTGCATTTTCTGGACGGATTGTCCTTTTAATGCTCTGAGGACCTAATGACTTACGTTGGGTCAGTATGCGTGTTTGATCTGGAAAATCCATCTTTGATAAAAATGAGAATTGTTTTATAGAGAGCTGCTTGCATGGTCAGCAATCCTACGATTAGAGTTGAACAATAAAGAACATGGAGTCATGTTAATTACAACATTAGGCCATACAACATTCCTCCTTCTGCTGTAACCTCTGGTACTCTAGCTAATACCGAGCTCTCAACCATCAGCCCAGAAGCAAATTGATCAGTCATTTTTGGGGCCTTCTGCATAAGTTGGCAAACACATGTATTGCATTTCAAGACTGATCATAAATCAGAAAAATTTCATTGATGTAAAGCACTTTGGAATGACCTGAAGTCATAAAAGGTGCTATGTGAATCCAGTGTTTGCCGGTTAAGGTTTGCCACCTATTAGCTAATTCAAAACTTTACATTCATGAAACTTCTGTTTTTACAGTACGTTGACATTTGTTATGGAAAACTTGATGATACATGTGGAAAAGTTTGAAAGCAAATTCATTCTTCAGGCAAGTTGAGGTTAAAGGGCGGAGTTATTGCTGGAGCATCATGTAGCTCAGTCCCCAATTTGAACTTGCCTAACTTGTTATTAAGAATTTAAAATGGGAATATTATAATTTGTGTGTAGCTTTAATGGAAATTGCCATTGTAAGCTTGCCATGTGTTACACCTCAATGGGCTAGCATACTCGAAATCAAGCCCTGCCATTCCCTATGATGTCTCACAAATTAGATACTTCAAAACCAGTCAGCAGAAAGCATGGACACGATTTCTGTACTAAACTATTACTATAGCAAACTTTTTATTAACAGGCACCTATGGGACCAGGAGTGTGCCGGTTGATCAAATCTTCTCGTCAATCAGGAAGTCCACGTAATCCATTCAAAAGCACACACTAAGTAGTAGAAATGTAATGCAGGGAGTATACACATCACTTTTATATTTTATTTACAGTATAAATCACTTAAATAATAATCCAACTTTGCCTTAAATAGAACTTATCGGCAGAGAGCCTTCTCACTTGCACCATCAACTGACAATATAGTTAAAACTCTAACCATTTTTAAACTTCCCTTGACACTCATGCACAAAGGTGGAGGGAAAGCCTGTCCACAGAGTTTGCTGAGAAGAATATTTGCTGATCAATGTGCTCCTTCTCAGTCTTTCTTCTCCAGTTACTGCCACTTGTTTGCATGAGTCACAGGGTGACTGGTTTGCGATTGTGAAGGTCTGACATCAGTTGAGTTGCGACTTGAAAAGGGGAAATAAACAGGGTATCTTCAAGTTTGGGATGTTTTTTACTGCAGAGAAAAGAGACATTTCTGTGTTTGCAGAAATTTGATTTCTTCCTGCAAGCATTCAAACCCCAAGCTGTTCAGCTGTCTTGAAGTCAATCACAGTTGTTCGTAGGTGGACAGCCTGTTGTTGATAAGTGGTCACAAGTCCACAGATCAATCGGCTACTTGTTGCTGGAAAAAAGCTCTGTTCATACATATCCTTTGGCTCCAAGTTCACTGAAAACTAGGCTTCTGCAGCTGCTTGAACTTGCCAACTGTAGCAACAGTATTTGAGCTTCAGGTTACTGTCTTTTTAAAAAATGCAGCAATCTTTCAGTCCTTGGTTTTTAAAACAGTCCTTTTCCCATTTCTGTTTACAATTAAAAATAGGGAAAAGTAAAAAAAATACAGTCTTTATGTGTGTTGCAATCTTCCTCTCCCACTAGTACTAACACAGCAGTAGCTTGATTGTTAGGTCACTGACAATTTTACACATGCAGTTTCCAATTAAAAATATGGACATAAGAATTCATAATGAGGTTGATAGCAAGTGCATGCAGACTGTAGATTTGTTCAATAAATTACATGGTTCATGAGCTGGAGACTGGAGACCTGAGTTCAGATTTCACCATAGTAGTCAGGGAATTTAAATTCTATTAACAAAATTAATCTTGGATTAAAATATTAGTAATGGTGAGCATGAAATGCTGATTATTATTGAACACTTGTATGGTTACGAACGTTGCTGAAATTTGCCAAATTATTTTTAAAAAACCGCTCGACATCTGGAGTAAAAAGTTTGGATGGCAGGTTGCAATTTGACCCTCCCAACTGAGGACCAATTTCATCAGATTAAACTGAAGTTACCTTTAAGATTATTCACAAAAGTCACTATCCTTCATATTTAAGCCCAAATAATGAGCATTTTATCATGAAGCCATGATGCAAGAGCCTGAACCAATTTCATATCCAGGTGCACATTTTTTGAACAGATAGTAGTGAGTCAAGATCAAGAATGGGAACATGTGGGCTCATTTTTAAAACTTTTTTGTTTTCTTCTGTTGCTAAGTAACGTTAAGACCAATTGTAGCATTCCATTAATAACACTCAAAGGGGCTCAGCACCTTAACTGAAAGCAGAGATTAGTCCTGAATCCTTACTGATCTGTGTAACATGCCATAAGTCACTTAATAGCTAGGAGAACTTAAGTTTGTTAAATGTCTAAATATTTGAAGTCGGAGCCACACAATCTGCCAGTTAACTCAGTATTTTTTCTTTGCATAAACTGCACAATATATTCCTGGGCATGTTGAAAGCTTAAGATTCTAGTTTATGTAATTTTTTAGGCTTAGAATTTTGATATCCAAAATGTAATGTATTGTCACAATTCATTGAAACCATTAATGTGTCTCTGAAAGGATGACTGCAGTAGAATCTATGATTTGTAATAAAGGAAATTTGAAAGTTATGGCTGTTGAATTGGCTACCATGTCAATTTTTAAATATGTGCTAACAGTATATCTGTGTATGAGAAAGTGAAGGCTTTCTTAGCCTGTTTAGTATGATATGTTTTCCAACTGCTGCTTTTGTTTCATTTGAAATGGTACAGATCATATGCGATTAAGTGCTCCAACTTACTCAGCATTAAAAGTGTTTGGAAAAAGTATGAGGAGTGTGTCAAGTGACGGTGCCAGCTTTACTTTTCCACTGGTATCTGCAGCTCCCGATCAGCCTCCACCTGCTGTCTCAGTCGCTAACCCAACACCCGTCTCTGTAGCCGTGACTACCAGTGCGACGCAGCAGCCAGTACCGCAGTCTGTGCCACAGGCCATGCCCCCACCTGTACCACAGCCTGTGCCACAGCCAGCCACAGCAATCCCAGCCTTTCCACCAGTGATGGTGCCACCATTCCGTGTGCCATTGCCAGGCATGCCAATTCCATTGCCAGGTAGGATACCACTTTTTTTGTTACTTTTGTTCATTTCCCTTTGTGACTACCAATCTTACTTTTGTGATTATTGCTTCCTGAAATGTGGATTATGTGTGTTCTGTTTGTTTTGTGATTGCTGTCTACGTTTGGACATTCATCCATAACAATTCCAATAAGGTTTTATCTTCTGCATTAAAAGTCCTTGGGATTTAAGAATCCTAAATATTTAAATGCATATGCATATAAGAGAAGGCTTTGCTCTCTATGCCTCTTCTGGCTCATGTCAGTGGTTCTAGTTTTATAGCAAATAAAAGCACTTTACATGGTTAAAGCAGGCGGAGCTCCATCCATCCAGTGTCGGAAATAGCAAGTTTCTCAGATTGTGGGAACACAGGTCTGACTTGGGAAGATAGGCACACCATCTGATTTTTTTTCTTTTGCCCACTGAAGAGATGCAGCACGCTGATGAGCTTAAAAATGATGTGGTGCTTCATTGCCAGTGTTCGTTCTTTGAACGTTACTGAAGAATGTAATCTTTAGAAAAGCTTTCGTACACTGATGAGCCAATACCTTCTCATGAGTGCGCTATTATCATGAATTGTAATAACTTTGTGGGTGAAATTCTTTTACCCTCGAACTTTTAGGTGCTGTAGTGGTAATGCCACTATCACTACTATAGCTGCAATACTCTTGCAAATTAAATTTATATAACACCTTAATTTTTACATAACACCTAAATATGTAATAAAAGTGTCTCAGAGGGGCTTTATAGTACATAACAAAGAGGAACATACCTAGCGACATCAAGGGATATTGGGTAAAATGACCAAAAGCCACTGACTTGAAGTGCACCATCACTTTCACCCTTGATGTCCAAGTTCCTGACAAAACCATTGCTTTTTTACCTTAAAAGTTGAACCAGAGAAGGGTCCATCTCTGCTCTTTGAATTCAATGCCTACAGGTTTGAAAGGTTATGACAGATGACTATTTTAGCCCTTTACCATCCAATATGGCCAGACAACGTAAAACATTACTGGATTACATTCTGACCTTCAGAACCTTGGCTGCTTTTCTTTTGCAAATCATGGTGACTTTTGTTTAAAATGCATTCAATTATATAACGCTCTTGTGGAAAAAAGCAAGAATTCAGCCCAAAGAAAATCCAACCTGTGCAGTAATTTGAGTAACTTATTCCCCATAGGAAGATTTTTCAAAATATCCTGTTGATTTGGCAGGATCACTTTCTGCATGCTACCCAGTGCCTGAAAGTATGGTTGAGTTTGCAATAATTAGCAGCATTTTTTGTTCAAGCGATCGCATGTCTGTCCTTACCTATACTGTCAGAAAAAAGAACAATTTCTATTTTAGTTGAATTTTGTACAGAATTTTGTGCTAGATGTACTTGATTCAGGGCACCTTTACTGATGGGTTGCTGCTGTTGGAGGTCTTTCCAAACCATTGATTGACTACAAGTGACTCTACGAAAGTTGAACGATGAATTCAGACTGACCCAAGCCAATCGCATGCAGTGAAGTCTTGCAACTGTGCTTGGGTTACCCTGTTTGATATGATCCCTGTAATGAGCAGTGAATTTTATGAAGAAATACGTTTTCTGGTGATTTGAAGGAGCAAAGGATAAGTTGTAAGAATTTTACTGCACCATACAATCTAAAAATTCATGTAGATCAAGCATGAATCAACAGCTAAGGAAAAGATTCATTTGCATTAACTAATGCAATCAGAATATTTCTTGTGAAATACTTAAAGCAAAGCCTCACCTGGGCAGATATCTGGAATAGCACAGCCACTTCTGGCTCTCCAATACGCTCATTTCTCGCTGTGACACTGGGTCAAAACTTCCACCACTTTTGGACAGTCGTTCAAGTTCTTCCAGCTCCTGTTATCTCCAACAAGGCACACCTTGTCAATTCTCTGTTCCTGAAATCTTCAGAACCCTGTCTATTACATTCCCTTTCTTCTGACAGAAACTGAGCTTACACCAGCATCCTGCTTGGTTGTTGGTACAAAACAGCCCAATTACTTCTGCATGGCAGTAGCTGCTTTGTCACTGCATTTCTCACAGCAGCCTATTTTTTTTTCCAATGACCCACTATGTCAAAGTATCAACATTGTCATCCACTCTCGATAGGTTTCTGTTTGCGTTTTCCTAACCATGGTAACCAGATTATATGGCCATCTCTCTGAGCTAAGGTGTTTATCCAGAATTTTTGTTTACTCTGAGTTGCAAGTAGATTTCAAAGTTCAGCATTCATGACAAATGTGATTTCTCTATATTTTGCAACTTTCCAGAATTGATGGGAATTCTCTGAAATCATCAAAATAATCCATGGGTAAGAGAGACTCAGGATTTCATGAGCAGTTTCTACAAAATAGCAAAACTAAATAATAGTTGACCCATCTTTTTTCTGTATAGAATGGACAAGTCCCTTGAACAATTAGTACTCTGAAAACATTCCTTTCTCTTAAGCGATATCATTCAAATACTTGTTCAGGTGCAACGATGGTAAAGGCAGGAACCATCGAGACATTTAAAGAGCTATTTAGGTGAGAACTTGAAACACCGTAACATAGAAGACTAGGAGCAAAATGCTGGAAAATGGGATTAGAATATATCGTTCCTTGATGACCAGCATGGACACGAAGGTCTGAAAGTCCTTTTTCTATGCTGTAAAAACTCCATGATGCCGAGAGCAGAATGGTGAGCATCCTGTTCATTTTACTGTGTCTGATTTCACTTCGGTGTTTAATCTGACTGTTAGTCAGATGTGAAAAAGTGAGTGTCTCAGTATTTTTCTTTCAGCCTCCTTGTTATGTTTGTTACGTTGGGAGTTATGAGTTGTAAATACACTTAGACCACCTATTAACAGATGAATAATATAATATATAAGGCTATGAATTAAAAGTATAAAATTTAACCATGAGAAAATGGGGTTTGTTTAGCTGGTGTTATGGGCAGCTGTTCAATATTTGGACTGTTGTCTTTTCTGGTCTTGCAATTTGGAAATTGGAAATTGTTCAGTGATAGTTTTAATTTATCTGCTGACTTTTTTTCTCCGTTCTAGTTTCTTGTACTTCTTGTTTTTACCAAGAATTATTTTGGATTGAGGTGATCAAGAGTTCAACTGGAATATCGGTCTTGGTTTGATAGAATCATGAGCTTCCAGGAAAGGCTGGATGGATGAGAATTCTTAGCATAAATTAAATGATTGACAGCGTTTTAAGATACAAGACTTTGTGAGTATTTTTGTGGAGGAGAGAGAGAATGATGTTGATGAGGAATACAAGCAATTAGAATGGAATGTTTCATCAATCTAGAGGCAAGCTGTATTTTAGGATGTATATTGGCTAAAGTAGGGTCAAATGATGTACAATGGCTGGAGTTGTATTTGCAGCAAGAATGGTTTATTCTTTATGAGACACAAATTTACATCATACGATACAGTTGTAGTTATTTAAAGATGGAGTTAATTTTTTAAAAAAATTTGTGTGCTGTATTTTGTGATGTGGTGGCCATGACATGATTCCAGTGTATAATGCTGAGGCTAAACAATTGAACACCTTCATAGAATAAGTCGACAGCAGAATATTCAAATTGGATCTGTTTTAATTCTCACTGTCTTCCAGATTCTACTACTACCAATCTTTTTCAAATAGGTTATCTTCATGTCTTTGCCCCACTCTATCTGTTTCAAGCTTCATTGACATCTTTTCCATTCTGACTGAATATCTCCCTTGCCTGCCCATGTCTGCTTCCCTTCTGACCCCATTGTGGTCTTTTCTCCCCCTTCTCCCACAGAATATATTTGATTGTACCTGCCATGCTTTTCTCCCATTCTTTGTAGCCACTTGTTGAACCTCTGGAGCATCCCAGTTACCACAGCATATCCCTAGCATCTGTACGTCAATTGATGCATTTAGTAATTGGGAAATGCTGTTTGGAGGATTGTTCTTTGGTTCAATCTGGTCTAAAAATCCTTTCAAATATGGATTTTTATTCAAAGCATCTTAGCATCTATGCATTATGAATTCTGTATGAAATGAGATTGCTTCCCACTTCAATTTGTATTATTTATCTATAGGATGTTGAATTCTATCAGTAAAGCAACACAAATTCAGTGGATTTTGAGGCTTCTGAATTTCACTGAGAAAGTTTGCAGCTGAAAGGTGACAATTGTTTCCTATTTTTCTGTCTCAATATAAATGAGGTTTGTTTATTTCCATTTCCTATGATCTGACTTTCTGTGACACTTGGGTGCCTCCATTTATTGATATTGCAGTGTAGATGAGTGGTGCACGGATGTTATTTATAAAAGGAACAAAGGGAGCATTAAAGGTGCTCGTTTCCATTGAGCATTGCATGTATGGAACCAGAGTATGTTAGTGAAATTGCCATAAATGTAATAAAAGCAAAGCAGCTCTTGCAGCGGTGTTATTGTTGGCACAGTGTTCCTGTTCTGGCCGACCCCAGAAACACGCAAACTGGTAAGCTCGCTGCTTAGGTGTATTGCAACGTACCAATAAACTTTCTTCCCTTTGCCCATGTAACAGCAACTGTGTAGTTTAACTAATTGCACACGAAGGCTTTTGGGATACTGATTTATTTTTATTGTTAAGCTGTTGTAAGACTTCTGACTTTTCTTTCACTCCACGTACATACCTAAGTTTGTATATGTAAACAAGGAGCTATTTAAGATCTCAAAGTGTCATTGTGCACTTTTCTGTGATTTAGTGGTTTCATGATGGTCACGCAAGTTTTTAAGATTAAAAACTAATTTTTGCAGTCAATATTTGTTTTGTGCATTGTTTTCATGAAATTGATTTTGAATTTGAAATAAGTTCTTACTCAGGTCTTTTGCACATCACATCTGGTTGAAAGAAGTGAGAGCAATTAGACAGGAACTTGAATTCAACTGAGATTTCAGTGATGTATTTAAATTGCTGCTATCATTCCAAAGTTTAGGATTTGCCAGAAAAGTGCTTTTTCTCATTAACCATT